AACAAATATGAGAAAAGGAAAAAATGGAAGCAAAGTCTTTGTAAATAGGGAGGGGTGGAGGGGTTGAAGGGAGGGCAGGGGAAGGGGGAAAAATAAGAACCAAGAGAGATTATGTAAAGGTGCAAATCCCCAATGATGAATGGCATCATATCGTATACCTAAAATGTACCAATAAAGTTAATGAAAAACACTGAAGGGCCCCTTACTGAGCATGAGGCAGGGCACTGCTTGCCAGCTTTTCCTTTTCCCCCTGTCTCGCTCTCTTCCTTCCACCCTTTCGGGGCGCGGGTACTGGAGACTGAATCCGGGGCTTCGTGCGTGAATGCTGAGTGCTCTTCCCGAGCTGTACTCCCAGCCCCTCCATTCCCCTCCTACCTCATTTCCTTTTGTTTTCTAAAACCATTTGCTAATTAGGACAACCCGAACATGAAGTAGGGTTTATTGTATAACAGAAACATTAGAAGTAGAAATTCTGTGGCTGTGTGAAGGAAGGCCTTACGGACTGGGTGGCTCATTCATGTGGCAGCTTGGCAGGGCCCCGGGTGTGCAGGTGAAGCACTATTTCTGAAGGTGCTGGTGAGGGAGCCTCCTGACGTGGTTGGCCTCTGAAGCGGGACTCAGTAAAGTACGCTGCCCTCTCTACGTGGAGGCCACTGGCCAGTGCCTTGACAGTCGGAATGGACAAGATGGGGAAGAACCAGGGAGCTTTTCCCGTCTGTCATCTGCTTGTGCTGTCAGCTCTTCTCGATCTCAGACCTAAGGACTTGGGCTGAATCTCACCACTGACGTTCGTGGGTCTCCGGATTACAGCGGCAATTTGTGAGACTTCTTGTCCTTCTGATCACATGAGCCAGTTCCCCATGATAAATCTCCTTTCTATACTGCTCCATCAGTAACCTGAGAATAATGCTGAGGGGAGAAGATGAAAATACAGGAAGGGACAATATTTTAAAATGAAGCAAGACACTGTAAGCCCAGCCTCTGGGAGGCTGAGGCAGGAGGCTCATGGTGAGTTTGAGGCCAGCCCAAACTACGCAGTGAGACCCTGTCTCAGAAAGAATGAAGCAATACAAAGCACACTGCCTAAAGGACACTGACTAGTTAATTGAGCTGTGTCTCATAGTAAATCATGCATTTTAAGTGCCTGGGGAGAAGTGTAATTTTTATGACCGGTACCAATAAAAAACTGAAATATTACTTTTATATGAGAAAGAAAAAGGCTTAAGCTGCAAAGCCACATTGTACATGCTCAAGTCTCTCCTTCCTGAAAGGCACAAACTCATCTCATTGAAAGAGCGTGATGAGTCTAGGGTGGGATAAAGTGCACAGGCAAAGATGGGGACTGCAGCTGCAGTGAACACTTAGAGCTCTTTCCTTGCTCTCCATCATGTGATCATCTAACGGGACTCCTCTCACCGAAGGGCTGCTCTCTTCATTCTTCTCTTAGTGCTTCCTTTTCTGTAGAAAAGGATGATTATGAGAAGGGACTGTCTCTAATGGCAAGCACAGACCACTGCCCTGAACAGCAGCGCATTACACCTTCTTCTCTCCTTGGGGTTTCTTCTTCATGTGACTTCGGAAAGAACAGCGCGGGCAAGTCTGTCTTCATTCCTACATCTTCAGCGTTTCCTTCCCTTCTCCTCTTTGCATCTGTAGAGGAATGTTTCCTGTGTCCCCTGTGAGAAATAAAATCGATCGAAAGTGACCCGTTTGCAAGCATGCATTTAAGAAGTCCCGGAGTGAATGGTACCTTGAGAGAGAGAGAAAACAGCAAGAGCCATCTTTGCAGGGTGCAGGCATGAACAAGGGGGAAGGAGCGCACTTTCTTTTAGCTAAGGCTAAGTAGAAACATTGTAACTGTGTAACTGCAGGGTCACAGCATCTCTAACAAGAACATCTGCTTCTGGTAAAGAATAGACGATATTATGAGGAAACTCAGACTCAACTGGGTAACTCATAGGTGTTGTCCGGGAGGGTTGTGCATCCCATTGCTCAGCAGTGAGGAAAAGGAGGAAGGTACCGCGTGCTAGGGGTTAGATGGCTCACTGTGACTCCTGCATGTGGCTGTCCTTGGACACCCAGTCTCGAAAGGCCGAGTTGAAGCCTGGCGTTCAGTGCTGTTCTCCCCACCTCTGAGTCCATTCATCAGGTCTGGGCATGGGCGCACTTCTCACCCTGAAAGGACAACACAGCAAAGCAAAGCAAAGCAACAAACCTTTCTTGATCTCTTTTCCAGGACTCTCCTTACCCTTACTGCAATTCTCTCTCAAGAGTTGTGTGCATTCATCTAAAATCCCATCCTTCAGCCCATACCAACAGGGCTTTCATCCTCACTGTTCCCCAAAACTGCAACTGCTGAAGTCACCTGTTAAAATTCCACAGGAAATCCTCCAAGCAATGGTGCAGAACATCAAAACAGCACCATCCACATAGGAGCCTGCTGATGACTGGCTTGCCTAAAGTTAGGTTTAGGGTGCCTAGACAAGGGAAACGAACTGCATTCTGCAGAAAATCTCTCTAAAATGCTATTTTCAGTGGAGTTTGGGTAAGTTTTATCAGAACAAAAGTGAGTTTGAATCTAGGTGTTCTCTCTTCCTGCTCTAATAATCGGATGACTCGAGGGGAATATTGATGTATTCTTTTTTTTTTGGTACCAGGGATCGAATTCAGGACTTCCTGCTTCAAGGAAGGCGGCGGAACCACTGAGCTAAATCCCCGGCCCTATTGATGTATTCTTAATAAATCTGAAAGGCGGCTGTCTCAGTGGAATACACTGTGGAAGTAGAGCCCTGTGCAAAGGGAAGATTTCCCCATACAAATTTTGCATGCCTGTGCTCTAACACACAGGCCAACTGTAAGATCCCAAAGACGGCAGGTCACAGGACATTCTTAAGTCTGAAGATTTTAACAAGGTCCTGCCCAGCTTCTTCTTCAGCCATCTTCCTGTAAAGGAAAAAATAAAACAACTCTTGATAAGGTAATATAAAATCTATGACTTTAATCAGTATATCTTTGAAATTAACATTTCCAAGATCAACTGAACATGTATTCTAATTGGAAGGCTCTGTGTCAAAATTATAACAGTGATTATGCCTGAATGGTGTAGCTGATTCTTATCCAAGGAGTTAAAAGTCTAGATCTGGGGATCAATAAGAGCTCAAGTAATGGTATGCTCCTTGTAAAAGATTTATCTGCAGTTCGATAATAAGGGAAATCCATGCCCCAAGTTTTTGCCAAAACCCAAACTTGAAATTTATTTTAAAAAGTAAGATAAAAATTTAGGCAAAATGCCTGGTAAATTGATTCATAATTTGAGGTAAGTAAAGGGCTGATTTTTTCCTTCCTTCCTTCCTTCCTTCCACTACTCTGGCTCCAGCTAAGAGTAGTCAATGTACATTTTGATACCATATCAAAATTTAAACTTTCAAATCAAATGTGCAGCCATGAAATTACAGTGGGATGGAGCTACATGGGACTACAGCATTAAAAACATCTGGGCTTTATTTAGAAGGCTCAGGATGGGAGCTGTCAATGAGACCTGAACTGAAATCACCAAATTTATACAAGCAACAGTGGCCCAGGATACACGCTAAATCCTGGTGTGGCCTTCACATAATTATACATTTCTTCTGTTAGCGATAGAAGACAGGGGTACTTTATTTGGGGGCAGGGAGGAGGAAAGCCTCTGTCTGAGGAGAGAGGGTGGGTGCTTTGACTCCACGTGGCACTGCACATGGAGGGTCACGATTTGTGCCTCACTTGGTCAGCTATCGATCTTTTTCAAACCGGACACTGTCAATAAGAAGAAATTACAAAATAGTAACCCAATGATACAGTTATTCAAAAGAAAACTAAAGAATTAGGTGAACTTGGGCCCCTTTTCAAAGATGGTAGAGGAGAAAGATTCTTTCCTGAAGTTTCCCAGAATCTTGAGGCAAATAAATGCCATGAATCCCTGGGGAACTTGGCTGGCAGAAACCCTTCCTCTTCTTCCTCCTCAGATTCTGGGGTGAACCTGTTCCCACATCCCGACGAGACACCTTCTTGCTCAGCAGAAGTCCTCACCTTTCCCGTCCCTCGCCGGCGCCTCTTCTCCTCCTACACAAGTCATGCCCCTCCCTTCGCTCCTCCTTCTTCCAGGTGTCTACCTGTTTGAAACGTGTGTGTTCTGATACGCTTTCAACGGAGAAGCAAACTCAGCACCGGGGCTCCCTGTGCGGCAGGGGAAGCGGGATAAAGCCGTCCCAGGAGACTGGCAACAGGCGGATGAGTCCACGGTTCTTCAGGGTCCTCATTACTGCCATGCACCTAAGCTATATGCTCAACCCAGGCTGTTTGTAATAAGTCCTTATTTATCTCTCTGGAAATTCTGCCCTGGGAGGAGAGGGGAGGAAACATAAAAATTACTGATGCACTGAAAACCAACACCGATTTGGATTTACTTCTAGAACTGCACAAGCCTGTATTTGCTCAGATACTTCAGCTAAATAATGTGTTATGCAGGATTTGTGGATAACAGTAGGATTGTCTGACTAGCATTGCTTAGAAACAATCTTGGTTTTCCATTGTTTGTCTCTGTAGACACCTCTTTGAAGATATATTCATAAATAATTTGTTAGCCTTCAGCTGATATTTCAGTGACAGAACTTGATCTTCATCAGAAGTTACGAGAATCGGCAAAGTCCTGACAGACACAGGGCGTAGGCCTTGGAGGACAGCAGTTCCTGACTGAGGGAAGCACCTAAGCGGAAGGAGAGTCTGAGGCTTTTCGTGGATTTGCACACATGGAGAGAGCGAGGCACCAGGACCGCGGTGCAGAAGTGGCACCGGAGCTGGCAGGGGAAGGCAGAGAACCTGAGGCCTCTATCCTGGAAGCAGTTGAGGGATACTAAAATTTGGAACAGAGAAATAATATTGAAAACACAGAATAGAGGGCTGGGGCATCACGCCTGCCTGACAAGCACAAGGTTCTGAGTTTGATCCCTGATACCGGGAACAGAAAAGAAAGGGTAGGAAGGCCACTTTTGAGCATTTATGTTCACTTGCAAGCCGGATCCTACCTAGTAGGCAGGAACTCTGAGGCTGTGAGGGTCTTGGCTAACTTCCTTCTCTCCCGCGTCCCAACACCTCGGGAAGCGAGCTGAGTGGAGTTCAGCCTCTGCTCAGCCGCTGCTCACTCCCTGCTTGCAGATGTGCCGCTGACCCATTAATCACTAACCTACAGGGCATTTTCCACTCCTTACCTAGCTGAGCAATCATTGACAGCCCAGGTGAGCGAGCTTTCCTTCTCACTGCTCCGCCGAGGCTGCTCTCTAAAAGCACCACGGACTCGGAGGCCTGAGCCAGAGCAGAGCATTTTCTCACAGCTCTGGAGGCTGCAGGTCTGAGGCCGGAGTGGGGCGGGCCTGCCCCAGGCCTGCCCCTTGGTTCGAAGCGCATTCACCCTACAGGTGCACCTCCGGCCCGAACCTGCCCTTAGGGTAAGGACCCCAGTCGGTTGTAATGGCCCATCCTGCTGACCGCGCTGTAACATGACTGCATCTATCAAGACCCTGTCTCCATTAGGGTCATGTTCTGCGACTGTAATACATGTGTTTCGGGGGACACACTTCAACCCTGAACGCTCTCCTGGAGCCTTTCCTCTCTTGGCTTCCTTAGGGTTCCTTACCATGTACCTAACCGCTTTTCTCTTCCCGGGCTCCATCTCCTTCCCTCCCACTCCGGCGCTGCCCAGGATCCCCTCTTCTGATGCTATTGCACAGTTATCACGGACAGCTTACCTGCCTGATTTAAGTGCTGCCTGTACGGGGAGGCCTCCAAACTCTGTATTTGAGGCTGAAAGTCTTCACTGTGCCTCACTGAGACTTATATACTCATTCATTCATTCATTCAATACATGTTTACTGAGTGCTTGTGTGAGTTGCCCATTATTCTACCCAGTGGACCAACCAGACAGTATCTCGAGTCCCATGGACCTAGCATCCTAGTGGAGGTGAGGCAAAACCTAACAAATGTATAATTCAGATGGAGATGATTACATTAGATCAAAATTTTACAAGAACAAAATAAAGACTGAGGGATGCTACGTCAGGTGAGGTGGCCAGAGGAGCCTCTCTGAAGAGGGAGCCCTAAGGGCCCCAGACTTCCCAAAGCCAAATGGAAATCTTCAACTGCATAAGCCACAAACAACCCAAACTTTGTCAGGTCTCAGTTCAAAATGAATGTGTTGCCTACAACCCTCATGAATCTGTTCTTCCTGCATTTGTGATGCTGGCCAATGATACAACTACTTTTCTAGAAACTTCTGAATTTCATTCACCCCATATCTGGTTAACTAGTCACTTACCCTATAACTATATCAGTCCTGCTTCTGAAACCTCTCTCAAATATGTCTTTTTTCTTTTCTTTTTTTTTGGTCCTGGGGATTGAACTTGGGTCCTTGTGCTTGCACGGCAGGCAGCAAAACCACTGAGCTAAATCCCCGGCCCTAACACGTCTTTTTCTTACACTCACACTGATACCCTTCTTCTTATCTGTTCTCCCCTGCCTCCCTGTACCAGAGATCGAACTCAGGACCTTGGCCTTGCAAATCAGGCACAGCACCACTGAGCTACAGCACCACTGAGCTACATCCCCAGCCCTTAAAGTTCGATTTTTTTTTCTTTTTGTAGTTGTTGACACAAGGTCTTGCAATGTAGTTCAGGCTGGCCTCGAACTCAAGGTGATCCTCCTGCCTCAGCCTCTCGAGTGCTGGGATTACAGGTTTGTGCCACCACACCCAGCTCTTACCAGTTCTTACATAGCCTATCACAACAGCCCCACTCCACTCTACTAATAGTCTTTCTCTCTCTTTTCTCTTCTCTTCTCTTTTCAGTACTGGGCATTGGACCCAGGGCCTGCAGACTGAGCTACATCACCAGACACTTTTTATTCTTTCTTGGTGAGGCAGGATCCTGCCATGTCACTAAGTTGCCCAGGCTGGGCTTGAAGCTGGGATCCCCCTCCTCAGCCTTCCAGAGTCCGCGGTTACAGGCAGGCGTGCTACCATGCCTGGCTGAGAGTTGCCTTTCTTAATGAAAACCTCAACCTGCCAGTTCCGCAGTCCTTTGCTGCCAAGCCATTGCATCCCAGATTCCAACGGGATTCGGCCAAATGCTGTTCCCGCCTTCTGCAGATTTTAGCACTTGGCGAATACTTATGTAATCTTTATGACAATGTCCTTGATAGAGTTCTCTACCAGACAAAATGGCTCCGATGGTCCTGCACTCTACAATGGCTCCTGTTCCTAAAACGGCTCCTACTTACGGAAATGAGCCCCTTCAGAAAAGTGAAATCTAACCCCTCGGGAGAAGCAAAACCTAACTTGTTGCTCCACCCTGCTGCTCACGTGATCCTCCCCTTCCAATCAGCTGGTGTCCTTTTGCTCCACTCTCACGATACTTTCCCCACTGCAACGCCCTATATAAGCTTCACCCCAGTGAGTCTAACTTTCTGTCGCCATTGTTTGAGGCAGCCCAGCAACCCTTTGCCTCAAATAAAGCCCTGCCTCGGCTGCTTCTGTTTAGGCTTGTTTTCTTTCAGTTCTCCCCCCGCCCCACACCCCCGCCCGGAACTTCCAGCTGCATCCTTTTTTTCCCATAAGAGTACAACATTCACCATATCCCATTTCTAATATTTGTCTACATTTATAGAATATACATTTGTATATACATTATACATACATATTTATATATAATATGTAAGTATTTATACATTTTTAGAAGTATAAATGGCATTTGTGTCTTTGCAATCCCTATATATGCATGGTGCCTAGAACACCACAGATTCTGTAACTGAAGGCACGTACTCCGGTGAAGTCGAAGGACATCTCAGTGGAGAGAAGGTTGCAGAGAAGAAGGGAAGGAAGCCAGGGACCTGTGTGGCCCTGGATTAGTTTGAGGCAAGGGTCTGACTCCATGCCTAGCTTAACACAGACACAGGTGGCCACACACATAAATATTTACAGGTATGTGTGCCCAGGTGGTCAGGAAGCACCTCTATTTCCCTGATCTGTCTGCTGACAAAGACTAAAGGCAATGACACCCAGCACTTTTGAGCACATTTAGCATCCATGTCTTGGTTTCTAATATCATTCTCCAATAAAAGAGTCCATAGCTCCTTGGAGAAATGGCTAATTCTAGGATGGGGGAGAGAAATTTATAAAATGAGCATCTTATAGTGGCAGAAAGTAAAGAAGTGCTGGAAACAAAATGGAAGACTTCCCAATCGTGGAGACATGGAAAGGGACCACGAAGTCAGTTGAGGGAGTGGTCAGTGGCCAAAGATGGACCAATTTGAGCAAGAAAATAAAGTAGTATTGAATTATAACTGAGTGCAAAATAAATATCTATGAGCTCACACTTATCAGTTTTGTGTTGTTATAAGTGAATGCCACAGACTGAGGCTGGGGTGTCTAAAAGCATCCTGCTGGCATCTGTTAAATATCTGCTGATTGCCCTCCTGCAGGAGGGCCATGACATAGTGGAAGGCATCGATCCAATAAGAGTTCATTTTTATAACATGCCACTCCGTAGATAATTTGTTAATCCATTAATCCACAAGTGGATTCATCCATTCAGAAGGATCCAACCATCTCCCAAAAGTCCAACTTCTAAATGCTATCAAAATTGAAACTTTAGGGTTATATTTCCAACACGTGATATCTGGGGAATATATTTAAATCACAGCAAGACTGATATAAATAAACAATTAGATAAGTTAATGGAGGATACAAATCTCTCACATAGAAGTCCGAAGTGTTAATAATGATACTCCTCCCTCAGGGAAGTGCAGTATATTCCAGCCTCCTTAAATTTAGACTACACACAGCGACTTCCTTCCAAAGGATGCAGTAAGAAAAGGGAGAAGAGACCAGTGTACAGTGGAGAACCTGAAAAGCACTACGTCAGCCGGGTGGTCAGGCCAACCTGAAGAGGGAGGGATGTATCTGGCAGTCTGCACCCTGGGGAGGGTGTCTGAGGCCGACCCCAGACTCCTCTATCCATCCTACCCTTAACTCCAAGGTAATCATGAGAAAAGCATCGGGAAAGTCACAACTGAGGGACATCCTATAACACTCTATAATATCAAACCTGTCAAGGTCACTGAAAATGGGGACAGTCTGAGAAATTGTTCCAATTAAGAGTACCTGAAGACTACATGATGAACTAGATGTACCCTACTTGAGATTCTAAGCAGAAGCAGGACATTAGGTAAAAACTATGAAAGTGTGGATTGTGTATTAACTCAAGCTAATAAAAATAAACTGTAACAACCACTTGTGACATGTGGCTGTGCCCTCCTGAGCAGCACCCTTCTTCTTTCTGAACTTCGGTTGGTATGATGGGTCAGAGACAATGGGTGTCGGCACCAAGATCTCACTGTGATCTGATCTCAGCTTCACTGTTTGGTAGCTATCGGATCCTGAATAAGATACTTTCAATTTCACTGAGCCTATCTGTTCATCTTAGAAAGGTGATCATATCTGCCTCATGAGAACTAAGTAATGGTACATGAAACACTCACCACAGTAACTGGCACACAGCAGGGATCTGGTAGATGTCAGAGCCCATCCCTTTCTCAGGTTACAGCGAGGTGAATGTTTACTTTAAGTCTCATGATGTAGATTAATACTTTGCCATCTGACACTGAAGGGGTGGGCAACACTTGTCAGAAATTAAAATATTTTGAATGCAATGTGCCTTTGATAAGAGTTAAAGCCCCTACCAACTATTGGACCTTTTCATAAATCTTCACCTTGTACTCATCCTGTGTTTGCTTATTTGAGATCTAATTATAGCTTGCCAATTTGAAAAATCCTTTCTGAATATCTCTTATTTTATTAAAATGGGAATGGGGAAAAGAGGGAGACCAGTTAATTCACTATAATGGTTAATAAGAAAAGCAATAAACATAATGCACTTTGGTCATGATTGTCACTTAATTAAAAAATGCTTTTTTTTTCTAATAGCAAAAAGGAAATTTGGTAACACCAGCCCCAAGCACCTCGGCTATATATACTGTAATATTCTGAAATACAGAAGCATAAGCCAAAAGTAAGGGGATCAATTTCTTCCATTTGGACATCAACAAAAATCAAACAAACTAGTATAGTGGAGAAAAAAAAAAGAAAGGAAGAAAAGGAAAAGAAAAAAGAAAAAGACTATTAGGGGAAAACATTGAGATGTAGTAACAAAGTAATGAAGCTTCCAAAATAATTTCCAGTTGTTTATTGCTTGCACGGAAGAAAAATTTCTTCTCACTATATTAGTAAGAATTAGGAGCAGCCTCTAGTGGCAGATTAAAGAGTTTACAACGTGGCCTTGCAAAAACCGAACGCCTTCTATGTGTTTTCCTACTTGGCTCTGAGCTTGCTAATCAAATTTAGCAACTATGTGTAATTTCACCCATGTCCTTAATTGCACTGCTATTTCTTGTGTGTTCCTTTTACATGTCATTTTAAAAGCTGCTCCAAATCCTTTGTAGTCAGGGATGAGCTATTAACTGAATGTCCTTTGATCTGAATCACAGTGGGGTGGGGTGAGGGAGAATTTTAATTTAAGGAACAAACGATGGGCTAAAACTGTCACAACATACAGTTTGGATGAACTGAATTCAATTTCTCAGCCTTACCCATCTCCTTAAATGAGGAGCAGCCAGAAAGAGAGTGGCCCAGTGGGAAAGCAGTGGCAGAGGCTGTGTGAGGCCAGGGTTCGAGGCCCAGTATCCCAAGGCCTGCAAGAGGAAAAAGATGATGGCTTCGGCCCAGCCTGCTGACATGCCAAATGAATATCTCCTCACTGAACCCACTTCAGTTTCTACTTCCTCTTAATTCTACCATCCAGACACTTGCATTCTTGCCAATTAGGAAATTAAAAATGAATCATGAAAAAAATGTTCTTCCTCATCAGGTAAGGCTGTGAAGTACCGCATTTTACCTTTGTATAAAACTCAACAGGAAAGCTGGACTGCTAGGAAAGGAGGGCCTGGGCCTGCCACAAAGGCTCCGTCTGGGTAGAGACAATCCTCAGCCCAATCACTAACACTAACTGTAAGCTTAACCCGAGCCCTAAACCTACCCCTAGCCCTAGCCCTAGCCCTAGCACTAATCCTAACCCTAACTCTAGCCTTAATATTAGCCCTAGCCCTAAACCAAAACCAAACCCTAACCCTAACCCTAACCCAAACTCTAGCCCTAAACCTAATCCTAGCCCTAGCCCTAGCCCTGGCCCTAACCCTAACCCCAACCCTAACCTAGCCCTAAGCTAACCCTAGCCCTAACCCAAACAAGGCTCCCTGGGGTGTAGCTGATCCCTAGCCCCAACCCGAACCCTAACTCGCTCTCCTCAGAGCCTCTCCCCCTCGGGCTCTGACCCTGGCTTCGCCCTCTGGGATTGGAGCATCGTGAAGGCTGCAGCACCAGTGTTGGGGCCTTGCGGGTCAGACAAGGTGGCCGGGCTGGGCACCGGTCCAGGGTTGCTCCCTCTCAATCCGGATCTGGCCATGGGGTGCACACGGACCACAAGGAGGACCAGGCCTGGAAGGCAGCCGGGCCAGGAGGGCGCCTGTGGCCCTTCCTGAAGCTGCGGATTCAAATGCCTTTACCTCGAATGCCCCTGGATCCCACGGGTGCCCCCTAAAGTGACTTTGAGGGAGAATATTACCATCTCTCCTGTAATTAATATAATCATTTAATGTTTAGAGTTTCTTTGCTTGTCTCACACAGGTGCTTTCAAACAAGTTAATCAAGATGACATTTTGTTATATTTTATTTATTGAAAGTTCCTACTCTTCACAGGAGTGCTTCTGTGGTGAATTAATATTTGCTAAGCACCTGGAAGTGAAAACTGCGGCAACTTGATGGAATTATTCTAGTATTATTTATGCAGAAAAACAATAACTTGATAGGACCAGTGTCCCGGGCCATCTGTCATGTTAACTGAAATTGCTCTGTGCAAAGGTTTCGCCCATTCTGGCCAGTGGTGAAGAGCGGGAATAATTATCTAGGTAATTTAAATTCTTCAGAAAATGGAAAAATGAGTCTCCTGTCTGATTTGGTTTTGTTTTTGCTCCATTATTATTATTACATTTTGTTATATAAATGGATAAATATTCCATTTTAATTTGTCTTTCCTGTTACTTGAAATGAATTATTTTAAGGTTATTCTCTGTTAACAAATTGAGAGTTAGATAATTCTCTTCCTTTCTTGGGAACCATACTATTGTGCTTTATATTCACATATTGTAATAT